TTTGGAAAGTGATTAATCATTTGATTATCATTCATTCGGTAACCGCTATCCACACTAAATATATTGCGGCACGACTGCACACAGGCCCAATAAAAATTCCAATATTCTTCGGATGAAACTTGTACCCAGCCACGCTTTTCAAAATTATTCATCAAAATTGATTTATCAAAATCAGTACAATATGCAACACTGGAGTTCTCATTATCCGCGAAATTATTAACCCTAGAAGGACATTATCAATAATACGATTTTCAAATTATTACGTATAGCAACGAATTTATAAATTGCGTGTATACGAATTATTCATACCTTCCATAAAAATTTGCTTTCCGACTTATTTGGTCTTGAGTCATAATCTTCAGCAATTCGTACGGATCAAGGAAAATTTCTCTATATCAACACAACGAAAAATTTATTACTTTACGCGAAATAAGGAAAGATAAGAGAAAAACGCTTCAAAATTTTTCAATTCACTTTTTATATTTATTGATTTATTGATTCAACAATTTGAAAAAAAATTCTCTATATGTTGTTGCAAAAGAACGTTTCTTTACATAACGAGCAAGGATTAAGTTTTTCCTATGCACCGATTATTACATCTTTTACGAACAAGTTCATGAAAGGTAATAAAAAAATATTTTTTGTCTTTTTATGTAACTTTTGGATGACAAAAAATTCAAAAAATGATATCATTAGAAGTCAAACATATTGAATTTCTCACACAAAGGTTGTTTTCAAAATCACGTTAAAAAATCTTTTTTCTTTCGGTTAAAAATTATCGGTACGGCTCATAATAGGATTAATTAGGATTACGATTGCAATTCTCAGCCGCTTTGCTTGCCTGCTTTTCACTAATTTCGATAATTTTTAAACGTTTAAAATTCTTGAATCCCGGAAAGCCTCATCAACCATATACATAAGTATTCTTTATTTATTTGTTGGAGTCAAGTTAGCATCTACTGCTTAGTCCATATTGATCCGTCAGATAGGTTTGATGATTCTAAGCGATCGAGATATTAACAAAATGATTTTGAAAAATTGAACGAAACTGAAAACAAGTAAACGAAGATTATAGTTATATAGCAAGGCCGACCGTTAAATATTCTTCGATGCTTCGCTTAAGGCAACTCTTCATTGATTGTTTTGATAAAATACCAAAAACTATGACTTGTTTCCACGTAAAGCCATGTTTTTTATAGAAGCCCTCGTATGCGAGAAGATGCAAAAAATCAGCTGACGTAGTCCAAGTCAATTTCCTTTTCAAATTTCTTATTAGACTTATCGCCGAAGGATGGGGGTGTATCCAGAAGAAATCTTCAGGGACCCCACAAAATATATACATTCTTGACCAGGATCAAATCTTAAACCAATTTAGTATTTTCGTCTGTCCGACTGTATGAACAATCGACACAAAAATAAAGTTATCGACTCGAGAACTTTCGAGCACTTTAGCTGTTTCTAAACGTTTACGTGCGATGGGAATGATCCAAAAGGAGAGAAAATCGCTACCACACAAGTTGACTGAATATGCTCAAGGATTAGTCAAGGAGAGCCATCTATATCGGCACGGAAGCGGAATATTCATGGTGGAATTAGCAAGGCGTAGTAGTCTTGCATCACAATGCTCGGCCACACGTTACAAGAGTTGAAAAGGAAACACGAGGTCATTCAGATCGATATGGCATGTCTTGCCTGGCGCACGATTTCGAAATGCTGAAGAAGAGCGAAAATAGTTTGATGATTCGATTGCTGCAAAACCAATATCGTTCTTTCGATGAATACGTAATAAATATTTATTTTGCAAATTTTTTCTCAATAAATGCCTTCTTCAAGTGAGAAAATGATCAAGTATATGCAATGATCGGAATAAAAACAAAAATGGCATCGGAAGTAATTGGCCGATGTATAATTTTTGTGACAAATTTTATGCGCCGCCTGTGCTCAAGGAAAATGTAATCACTTAGCTTAGAATTATAACATAAGAAAACTAACACTTTAATAAATCAATCAAATAACAAGTAATTTCGGTAGGTTAACACTAAATGGAACATCAGTCCAGAAGCCTAAAAGAGAACTACTTTTATACCCATCACCGAAGGATGGGTTATATATGTTCATTTTGCATCAACCATCAGAGACTTCACAAAGTATATATGTATGTATATATTTTATCAGCATCAAACTCTGAATTGATTTAAGCATGTCCGTCTGTCCGTCTGTCATTTTGCATCAACCATCAGAGACCTCACAAAGTATATATATATTTTATCAGCGTCAAACTCTGAATCGATTTAAGCATATCCCTCTGTCCGTCTGTCCATCTATCTCATGTCTGTTGTACACATTCTCCTGGCCGCAAAAATGAAGTTATCGACTTCATATTTGGCAAATCATCGCATAATGAGCAATAAACCAATTTTTTATTCCTTTTGAAAAGCGGAAGTGTTCTCAGTTTGAGTGGCACTGTGGACGCCTTGGCCCATTTTCAATACGAAACTGCGTACAAGAACTTCCAGTCTTTCTGCCAAATTTGAAGTCGATAGCTTCATTTTTATAGTCAGTAGAATCATTACAACAGACATTGCGCAGACGAACAGACTGACATCCTTAAATCAATTCAGAACACCACATCTACTTTGTGGGGCCTCTGAAGCTTCCTTTTGACAAAATAGCAATATACCACTCATCCTTCGGTAATGGGTATAATAAGAGAAGACAATGAAAAGGAAACTGATTTTCTAAAAATTCTATAGTTAGCCTGCAGATGAAGCAAAGGAATAATTTGGAGTTTTTAAAAAAAGCCATGGAACGGTTAACATTAATTTTAAAAAGAGTTTGCATTTTTTTATAACGTATGTTATTTTGTATTGCACTAATTCTATTTTCTATAAAACTTTAAACAAAATCAATAAATAGTAGGTTCATATACACAACCAAATTCGTTTACTATTTCCATCTGTTACCCAAGGATCTTGCGTTTTTACTATGATGTGCATTTGAATTGTCTTCTTGGGCAGCTATTTCCTCATCCAATAGTAACTCAAAGTTACCCAAACCATCTTGACTTGGTATTTTATTCCAACGCACACTAGATAAAGCGAAAAGAAGAAGAATTCCAATTAAGATAAGGGCTTCTTCGTTTTGTGATGAAAAGGGAAACTTACTCCGGCACTCCGTCGGGAGGTAAGACTACAGATAATATATTATCGATTAATTTATATTTTAAAATGCGATCAGTTACTGTGGTTGAGGTAAGCGAAGGAGACGCATTCACTTCGACCAGCCAGGGTTTCAAATTATTATCAATAATGATATCATAACCGTAACATTCGAAGCAATGCCTATCGTTAGCCATAACAGGAGCTACGGCTTTCAATGAGTGCACTATCAGCCAAGATATCGAGCCGAATAAGCGATCGGTCACCTCTTTGCCATGCGTCCCTTCTAAATAGAGAGCCAA